CTTTTCCTTTTTCCCCTTCCTGAGGTACACACAGCAGCTGGAGAACAGAAGCCGAACACTGGACCCCATCTACACTTCATGAAGAGGAGGGGTTAGGGGAGCTGTTTGTTAAGCTCACAGAGGGCTGAATGCTGTGTTTGGCCACTACATCCTTGTGCAATCTGGCTGTTGGGCACTGGGAAGGCTTCAGCTGATTCTGAAGTAGCTGGAGCAGAGTGATGCCTGTCCAGAAATAGAAAAGTATTTTTAAATTAAATTTATTCACTGATTTTCATGAAGACAGATTGTTGTGTGTTTGTTGAAGTGTCATTAGGAGTAGTTGGCGGTGGAACCAGGCTGAGCAACAGTGAGAGAGGATGGACGTGTCCTTCCTGTGACTGGGGTCACCCAGGCCACCTCCTTCTGCTTGGAAACCCTAAATTCTTGTCCCGGAGAACTAAAACTGCATCCCTGCAGGTTCAGCGCGGATGGGGCAGATCCCAGAGAAGCAGAATGCTGTGCTTGGAGTTCCATGCTTCTGCTCTCAGGAGGAGCCCGGGAGGGTTGTGTCCATAGATAAAACTCAGCACCTGGGAATTTCCCTCTTTGAAGTTCTTTTTCCTGTTTTCTCCTTTGTTTCTTTGTGACTTCAGGATTTTTGTGCTTACCTAGGTAGGTGCAGAGAAAGCTGGCTTTCATCACGGAGCCTGCCTGCTCTCCCGGAGGTGCTAGGCGTCCTCTGCTCCTGCTGACTTCAGCCTCCAGGAATGTGCAGCGGCCCTGCCTTCTGCCAGCACAGGGAAAAAACCTTCTTAGCTTGGATTCCTGGAAAATGGAGTCCCCCGGTGTGAGTGCGAAGCTGTGTGTGTGTGGCTCTGTGTCTGTGCACCCTCGTGACTCGTGAATCCAGCTCAGAGGAGCGTTAAAGCAACCAGAATTTTAAATAGCCTGTGACTTGGGCGTTTTTGTGAAAGCAGGAGGCCGAGCACAAAAGGAAGCCCTGTCAGCCCCTTCAGGAAGGCAGGTGATGCAGCGTGACACCCCTCCTTGGCTCAGGGCTCCCCAGGAGATGTTGGATGCTTGCCCCAAGCTCGGCCCGTCCCAGCCGCGCTGCCCGGGGCTGCGGCATCCCCAGCAGCGCAGCTCTGGGGCAGCCTCCAGCCCTCGTGGAGCAAGAACTGGGATACAGGAGGGATGTTTGGGTTGCTGATCCAGGGCTGACAGTGAGCAACCAGCTCCTGGTTGCCAATGGCTGCAGGAGCTCAGGGCGAGTGAAAGAGCAGCTCTGGGGAGTGGGACACACCGAGCACCCGCAGCCCGGAGACTGGGGGTGCTGGGGCGTACCCACCCTCCCTCCCTCTGCAGGAGCTAAGCACTCCGTGGCTGTGGGAGCCAGGGCTGTGCTCTGGCTGGGAGGGAAGAAAACTCCTGCTTCAGCTCCTTGGAGTTTGCACAGGATCTGTGCCTGCCCCTGTATTTCACAGCAGGAACGAGCCACCTGGCCAGTGTGTTTATGTAAGTCCCTGCAGAGGATGATGATGGCCAGGAATGCCAAAAGCACTTGATGTGGGTCACGTTGCTTCCCCTGGAGACAGACTTTAGTGTCTCCTGATCTGAACATAAGAGCTTACACCTGAGCCAATCCTGCAATTTCCATGGTTTGGAAATAGTGGTGTTAGGGCTGCTTGTGCAGGTGCCACCCACTGCAGCTCCTGTGTGCTGCTCTTTGTGCCTGTTTCCTGCTAATGACACTCAAATTCAGTAGGAGCTGGAACACTGACCAGGCTGATTTTGGGGGGGTGATGCTGCATTAGGTACCCCTGAGGTCCCTCCCATCCTGGGGATTCCAAACCAAGCCCTGAACATGGCACAGCCAGCCCTGAGCACTGTATGACCTGTCGGGTCTAGCTGGGGCAGCTCATATTTTAGAGATTCTACACCTTTTAAAAACTGTTCATTTAAAAAATGTGTTGTTTAATTTCAGGTAAAAGACTACAGATGTTCTGAGCTGCTGGACGATATCAAATGGAGACAGCTGGAAGCAGACCTTTGTCTTGGCTCATGGTTTGTAAAAAAGAGTGTCAGCTGAGACTGTCTCCGTGCTGCTGAATAGGAAACTCCCGAGCAGTAGCTAGCAGAATACTTATATTTTTGTGCTTCACTTCTAGCTGCAGATGTCAGTATCTCCTGGCACAAGGAATTTTGAAATCCAGGTGCAGGCTGCCAGGCCAGAGGGAGTGGTGGCAGTGCCGGCTGCCTGTGGATGCCCTCCCAGGCCTTGCTCTTTGTGTCACATGCGTGTTGGGAAACATCCCTGTGTCCTGGCACCGCGCTGATGTGCAGGGCACTGCTGCAGATAGCCTGGTGCTCATCCCCACCCTGCGCCCTGTGCAGGGCAAGGAGGGCAGCAGGGCTTGCTCTGAGGAAGCACAGTGCTACAAAGCGTTTTCCAGCAAGACCTGCAGGTGGGAAAACGCCTTCAAAGTCCATCTCCCTGTGGCTGTTCCTTCAGCCCCAGCTTTGCTGCAGCAGCTCCAGTGCAGCCCTGTGCTGCTCGGGGCAAGGGATGGCTGTGTGTTCCGCAGAGCCTGCGGCTGCCCCGTCCTCCCCTGCTGCGGGGGCAGGACAGGCCCCACGCTTGGAAGACAGATGCCATTGAAATGCAGTGCAACAGTCTCAAGTCAAATATAGCGCTGTGATGATCTAGGTCGTGCAGCTTAATGATTTCACTGTTGAACGCCGAATTATTTTTGTTGCATTTTTAGTAAGGCTCGTGCAGGCTGTGGGAAACAAACCCCCGCTAGCCCCGGGAGCTGCGGGGATGTGTGGGTGGCGGGGGCTCCTCCGTGCTGGGGGCTCCTGTGTCCCACACCCTCCCAATGCCGGGGCTCCCCCAACCCGCACCCACCCGGGCCAGCCCCCGCACCGGGGTCTCGGGTGGTGCCGGGGATGGCCTCATCAAACACCACCCCGAAAGTCCCCGTTTGGGTGTTTAATGTGGGAGCATTGACTGGAGGTTCTCAGGACAGCCCAGAAATGCAGAATGGCCCTTGGGGAGCTTTTCTTTGCCAGAGTCGGCAGCACACGGACACAAGGAGAGTGTGGCCCTGGCAGTGAGGGGCGAGCAGCCACCTCTGTGCCCTGGCGTGGGTGACACGGGGAGGTGGCTGCAGGAGGTGCCAGGGCTGGCCGTGCCCGGGACCTGCAGGGCACGATGGGCTGCTCCACTCTGGACCCGAGCTGTGGCACCACCTGTGAGTAACTGCACGGCCGCCGCGGGCTGTGCTCGTGCTCTGGTCTCTCATTCTGCTTTGAACTTCCTTTCCTGCCCCACTGCTCCCATAATCAAAAGAGAGCGAACTCCACTTGAGGCATCCCTCAGCGCGATTTGTGTCAGACTGTGGCCGCTGGGGACCCTTTGAGCCCACAGCTCCGAGGCTGGGCTCAACAGGGCTCGCAGGGGAAGGGTGGCTCAGGCTTCCCAAGGGAATGCAGCAGGAGCCGAGCGTGGCTCATGCAAATCCGAGTTCATGCAAAGCGAGGCTCCGCTGCGTGGGGCAGGATGCAGCTGGAGCAGCGCTGCAGTGGTGCTGCGGCGGTGCCAAGGGCGGCTCCGGGGCTGTGTGCTTTCCCAGGCCTGTTCAGGCCTGTTCCCTTGGTGCAGGAAACATTTTCTGCATGTCCTTGTGATGAGGCCTCCAGCAGCCCAAGGGACCCTCAGAGCCGTGTCTGTCATGACAGAAACTGCTTGTGCAGCTGCTCGGCCGATGCAAGGTCTGTGCAGTGGAGTTATTAGCAGGCAGCTGCTGAAGTGTCATCCTAGGATTTCATTAACAAACGTCTAAAAGACATAATGAATTAACCTATTGAGAGCATTAAGCTTTAACAGTGCTGGGTTTGAATTGAAAGAAGTTAAATGAAGCTCTCTGCCTACATCCTGCCAAGGCAGTCCCCCTTGAGTGTAATGGTGGATATGTACTAAAGTCTTGGAACTCAAAAAAAAGAGGTTTTAACTCCTGTTGGGGACCTACATGATTCAGGTAGGCGTTGGGAGATGTTTAAAACCCAGTTACGTGTAGATGTGTTTTGTACCACTTTATTTTACTCCTCACAAGGTCAGAGGAGCTCAAGATGCCCAGGCAGGGACAGGCACAGGAACCAAAGCCTCTGTGACAGAGACCAGGGCAGTGGGGTACCAGCTTTGGGGGATGGCTGGGATCTCCGGGGATGGGACGGGTGGGATCTCTGGGGATGGGATGGATGGGACGGGTGGGATCTCTGGGGTTGGACTGTCCCAGGGCCTGCCTGGTGCCGATGGCTGCCCGGACATGGAGGTTTGGCAGTGCTGGGCAAAGGAAATCCCTCAGCTGGGGATGCATGAGTGACTGTCTTCTAAAATGAAAACCAAACCCAGAATGGTCTAAAAGCCCCTAAAAGGCATCAAGAAATACAAATAAGGATTGAGCACTAATGAGTGAATATCTTAATTAGATCTCACAACCTGTAGAGGAGCACATTAGATTAAAATGAAACTGAGCTTTGTGCTGTCAGGGTTTCAGTGTGAGAATGGGAGAAGAATTAGTCACATTTGCAATTTGTGAGGCTGGATTGCTTTTTCTCTCATTTTGTTTTTTTAACTTTTGACCTTGTCAGAAAATTATGAAAAGCTACTGGGATGATGTATTTGGGGTAGTTCTTATCACAGCACGTGGCAGAAACATTTCCATGGTTTCAGAAACATGATACTTAATCCTCTTCTTCCAGGTTAACTCCTTTCTTCCTGTGGAGTCCAGCCTGGCCCCTGCTCACCAGCCTGCTTTTGACTTCACTACCGGTGGTATTTTCTCTTTGTGAATTTCTATCAATTTTTAATGCAGCGGTGTCAGTTTTGCTGTAAGATGAGAGGAACTACTAGAAACCTTGAATTATACATGGTGCGGCAGGGGGAGGCTGGAAGCGTTTTCCTTTGGACCCAAAGCTTTCGGAGCCAGTCTCCGGCCCCTGCAGTTGGGACTCTGGTGATGGACGAGCCCCAGAAGAAGGCCGGCCAGCGGCACGAGGGCCGGCCCCGCAAGGTGAGGTTCAGGATCTCCTCGGCCTGCAGCGGGCGGGTGCTGAAGCAGGTCTACGAAGATGGGCAGGAGCTGGAGCCCCCGGCCGAGGAGCACTCGCGGCGCTTCCTGCGCCACGGCTTCGAGCCGGGGCAGCCGCTGGAGCCGGGGCAGCTGCTGGAGAACAGAACGCGCTGGCCCACGGCCCTGACCGCCCGCAGGATCAGCGTCCTGCGCCAGGAGCCCGCGCTCGGGCTGGCGGGCACCGCCGCCCTGCCCAGCGACTGGCCCGGCGCCAGCCCCTGCAGGGTAAGTGCTGGAAAGGATGGATAAATGGAACTGCCTGGCAAAAGATTCACAAGATCAGCCATGCCTACGGGCAAGCGCTGCCCGTGGCTGCCCAGCTCGGGCACAGCCCCGGGCCGAATCCTGCCGGGGAACGCGCTGCCAGAGCCTCGCTGCGGCCTCGGCCACGTAAAACTTCTGCCAGGCCAGGGCTTGCAGAGGGTGCCTGTGACTCCCCAGCCCTGGTTCCAGGAGTTCCATGTGCTGAATATGCCACGATCCTCAGGGTCTGCAGGCGGGGACAGCATCTGCCAGCTGTGCTCCAGCTGTGCTCTGGCTTCTCCTGCTCCTGGGCTGCATTTGTCCATTGGGTAGAGTAAAAGAGAAGGTTTCCATAGATATTGATATCTGTACATGGGAATCCTACTGCACCTAGATCAGTCAAATGTAAGGAGGATGTTAATTAGGTATATTCAAAATATTAAAGTCATGTGACTTTGGCTGGCAGGAAGCCAGTGCTGCCATCAGGGTACCAGGTGTCTGCATCCTCTGGCAGCCAGAATTAATCTCTGGCTACTTTGGCAATCCCAGCTTAGTTTCACTGGCTATTTACCTAACATATAATTAATGCCACTGGAAGAGAAGTGCTTCTTTAGTCCTCATAAAGAGGCAGTACATGCACAATATGTGTAAATACTTTTTATGGCCTTGATTGGAGCACATTGAAAGTCTGTTAATTCCTGGTGCTCACCAAAGCTGTGCGTGGGAAACCCAGGTGGCTGATATTTGACCTGCTGACACACTGGACACGCAGTTTGCCTGAAAACACCAGACCATGATGAATCTCTCCTGCCCAAAGACAGTGTGCTACTGTGATCTTATCCAGCCCCTTAATTTGCTTTGCATTCTTGGGTAACTGCTCCTCTCCCTCCCAGTGTCCCCAGGCACAGATACCTGGAGTAAGCACGGTGTCCAGCAGCAGCCTGTGCTGCAGCAACACGCACTGGGTGCTTGGAGACGCCGTGTCCCTGTAACACACACGAGGCTCTCACCTCCTGCAGGTGGGCAGCACTTGTGCTCACCCGCCTCCCCTCGTGCTTCTCCCACAGGGGAGCGGGTGCCCCGCTGCCAGGAGAGCACCACCCTCCTCAGGGCAGCTGGTGTGCCTCGGGGCCTTTTGCAGGGGAACATCTCCCTTTGCGTGGCTTCTTGACACAGACAGAGTGAAATATGAAGAGTGTGTAAAACAATAGGCCCCAGTAACTCCATATGACACCCAGGGAGGAGGGGCCAGGTCAGCAAAGTGCTGCTCTCAGGGAAAGGTTTGACCAAGTTCAGCTTTAAAATGACTAGAAAAAAAAATACAAATTTACCCAGTAGGGCTGTACCTCCAATTTGCTGGATGCTCTGGGGGTGGTCAGGGGAGCTGGCCTGGTGGAGGGGACACTCTTCTGGAAGCAGGGACCATCAGAGCTTGCAGAGTGAATTTATACTAGTGAGACACTGGCAAATTCTTTCTTCAGTCTTCCCCAGTTGTAGATTTTGGCAAGATCATAATCTACACCAATAACCTGAAAATCATCCGTGCACCGATGGGCCAGAAAGAGCTCATGAGAAGAATCATCCAGACTGAGGGAATAAACGACTGGACATTCGTGTACCGGGAGAAGAAAGAACTATTTAGTGGTGGTCATAAAAAAGATGTGGAGAATAAGGTCACTTGCAACCAGCATGTGCAGGTAAGAGAAAATGGAAAGTGCTTTTTCCCTTTAACCCTGGTCAAACCACCCGAGCCCCATCCACCTCTGGCTCCTAGCTAAGTTTGGATAGAAAGCACCACTCTGCTCCTCGTTTTCCTCAGGAGATAACGAGCAGCACTGTGCTGAGACCCTGCTCTGGGGACAGCAGTGCTGCCTCCAGGTGCTCCTGTCTCCCCTGGTTGCTTCCCCTGGAGGTGGCTGGCATCTGCAGAGCTTGGCTGGGCTCCATCCCTTGTCACCCCTCCCATGGGATAAGAGCAGGCCGGAGTTTCTCCAGCCTGACAAGGCTAAACACAGCTGCTCTGTGGCTGAGACTGCTTCAGGCTCAAATTTTGGTATCAGCTGCAATAAGGTCGTGCCTTACATTTGCTTTCTCACGGGGGAGTGTTTGTTGGTCAAAATCCCAATTAGTCTGACCATGATTTGATCCCACAAACCCCAGTATTGTCATGTGGAGCTGATACAGTTTCGTGGAACTGAGTCTGGCCCGTGGGTCACAGCGATCCTTCTGCTCCCAGGAATTTCAAGATGGGATTTGAAAGAGGCTGCCTGGCACAGTGGGAGAGAGGCAGGCACAAAGGACATCTCAAAAGAAAGTGTGCATGATGAGGGATTTGGGAAGACAGGGTAAGGAGCAATCCCTGAAGAAATGAAGCGTGGCTCAAACCTGAGGCTCCAGAGGGGAACTGGAGTGATAAGAAATGACAGGGGCATGGGTGGAGCTGTGCAGAGGAGAAAGATGAGTTTGGAATATTGTGTTATAAACCCAGTGACATTAACTTCTCATTTTCTAGTAGTTGCCACAAATTGTCCCCAGGCATGTGGGAGCCCTTTTGTCCAAGCCCCTGCTGCGGAGAGCTGATTGTCATAGGCAGAGTGGTGTGTCAGAGCAACCACGATGGCAAAGACCGGGAGAGAGAGTTTCAAGAACGCCCCTGACTTTGGTATCCCGCACCCACTAACAAATTCTTTTGTGCTGTCTGCTCCAGGAGGGCGATGCGGAACGCGGCTGCTCCCAGTGCAAAGGCTCGGGCTGCGCTCCCTGCTCGCTGTGCCACGGAAGCAAGTTCTCCATGCTGGCAAACCGATTCCGGGAGTCCTACCGGGCGCTGCGGTGCCCGGCGTGCGACCAGAGCGGGCGGCAGCCGTGCCGGGTGTGCGCCGCCTGAGCCCGGGGACGGGCAGCGGGGAACGGCCCTGTGCGCATCGCACCGGGCGTGGGACGGCTCCTGTGCGCATTGCACCGGGTGTGGGACGGCTCCTGTGCGCATCGCACCGGGCGTGGGACAGCTCCCGTGCGCATCGCACCGGGCATGGGACGGCTCCCGTGCTCATTGCACCGGGCATGGGACGGCTCCTGTGCGCATCGCACCGGGCGTGAGACGGCTCCCGTGCACATCGCACCGGGTGTGGGACGGCCCTGTGCGCATCACACCGGGCATGGGACGGCTCCTGTGCTCATTGCACCGGGCGTGGGACGGCTCCTGTGTGCATCGCACCGGGCGTGGGACGGCTCCTGTGCGCATCGCACCGGGCATGGGACGGCCCTGTGCGCATCGCACCGGGCGTGGGACGGCCCTGTGCGCATCGCACCGGGCGTGGGACGGCTCCTGTGCGCATCGCACCGGGCGTGGGACGGCTCCTGTGCTCATCGCACTGGGTGTGGGACGGCTCCCGTGCGCATCGCACCGGGCATGGGACGGCTCCCGTGCTCATCGCACCGGGCGTGGGACGGCTCCTGTGCGCATCGCACCGGGAGTGGGACGGCTCCTGTGCTCATCGCACCGGGCGTGGGACGGCTCCTGTGCGCATCGCACCGGGCGTGGGACGGCTCCTGTGCTCATCGCACCGGGCGTGGGACGGCTCCCGTGCGCATCACACCGGGCGTGGGACGGCTCCCATGCGCATCGCACCGGGCGTGGGACGGCTCCCATGCGCATCGCACCGGGCGGGGAACGGCTCTGTGTGCATCGTACCGGGCATGGGACGGCTCCCGTGCGCATCGCACCGGGCGTGGGACGGCTCCTGTGCTCATCGCACCGGGTGTGGGACGGCTCCTGTGCGCATTGCAACGGGCGTGGGACGGCTCCGCTGCTCCCGGCCGGCGCTGGAGCCGGGCTGAGGCCGGCTGGGCACGGGGAGTGGGTCCCTGCCCGACCGAGCCCGGTCCCTGCCCAACCGACCGACCCGCGTCCCTGACCGAGCCCAGTCCCTGACCGACCGACTGAGCCCGGTCCCTGACCCAGCTGCATCCCTGCCCGACCGACCCGGGTCCCTGGCCGGCTCCTGTCCCTGCCCGACCGACCAAGCCCGGGATCACGGGGAGCTCCCCCGGCAGGTGTGCAGGCAGTGCAGTGCAGGTGTGCAGCAGTGCAGTGCAGGTGTGCAGGCAGTGCAGTGCAGTGCAGGTGTGCAGGCAGTGCAGTACAGGTGTGCAGGCAGTGCAGTGCAGCTGCTGCCAGTACTGGGACCAGTCTGCACTGGGGAAGATGCCCAGGGGTGCTGGTACCAGTCTGTACCAGTGCAGGTGCACAGTCATTACTGGTCCCAGTGCAGGTGCCCGGTGCTGGTCCCAGTGCACTCCAGCCCAGGGCTGTGCTCCCTTTGGCCCAGCAGTTCCCCTCCGGGTTTAACTTGCACAACACCAACAAGGGCACTGCTGCTGCCATTCTCTCTCTGTGCCCTGCAGGGTCTCGGGCACTTCCCGAGGTTTTGCTGATCTGACACCTGCTTCACTGGCACAGGGATTCATTCCTTTGGGGTCTGATTTATGGGGGGAATTGAAAACCCTTCCCAAACCTGGAGGTATTAAAAAATGTATGTGAATTTATTATTCTAAATAGAAGTTATTAAGCTTTAACCTCCCTACAAGGAAGGGCTGAATTGAAACTCCCTGAATGCTGCTCAGCACTTCTCAGGACCAGGCTGAGGGTGAGCAGGACAGCTCTTGCTTAACACTAATCCTGTGTTGTAATCTGCAGCAGGTAAACTCTAATTAGTAAGATGAAGCAACGATGGGGATCCTTTGCAGGCTGCCACTGGTGCACAGAGCACAGGGGCTGTGCTGTGAGAGCCTGAGGCAAACAGGGAAAGTGGTGTTTTTTCTCTAAAGCGCTAACTTATTACCTTTTCTATTCAGGAGTGATGTCAGGGCAGCCTTAACTCCCATATTAGCTCTGAGACCCCGAGGAGACAGAGGCTGCTCACGTGTGCTTCACGCTGAGGCTGCAGGACCAGGCAGGGAAATTTATGGCCAAGTTTCTCTTTCCTGTGGTGGGTTACAAGGTTTCTCTGCAACACTGAAACGATTCAAAACAATACTGTCCTAGCTCCTGCACTTCCACATGTCTTCTGCTGACATTGTGCTGTGGGTACTGAGGGTTTCTTTTTTTAAAAGCGCATCAATCTATAGGAGATGCTTGATCGCCTTCATTCATCATATCAGTATCTGCAATGTCAAAAAAAAGTTGTCCTTGGGGTATCACTGAGGACAGGTGAGACTTCCCAAATCAGAAATTGCTGTCAGGCAGATCCCTTCCCTCAAATGTGGCCTGTTTGATCTCAGTTTTTTTGGGCTTGCTGGAGAGTTTGCTGGCCTAAGATAAGAAAAAAAAATAACCAGGCAGAATTGCCTGATAGTGTTTACAATAAAGCTAGACACGAATATGCACTTGTAAAATCAATATTTATTGTTCTTTGGTAATTACAATGTTTCTCAACCGCTGTCACTCCTCCTGGCTGTGTCAGCTGTTCCCATCATGTGGACATGTCACAGGGCCGATGCCTGCAGCCGGGAGCTGAGCTCTGCCCTTGCTCAGCCCCATCCCAGGGGTTCCAGTGCCCTGGGCAGTGTGGGCAAGCAGAGCAGGGATTTGCTTCCCCAGCTTCCAGTGTCCTCCTTTTGTTTTTGGTAATTCGCTGACTTGACTTACCCAGTAAATGCTCTTATTTCACACGGCAAAAGTTGAAATGTCCTACAGCATCCTGGTGAGCTGAGTGCTGAGGCAATGGGCTACTGGCCACATGTTGTTGGTTATTTCTGCTGCACTCAGAGCCCCCCATCCCTCCCTCCATCCCCTCAGGGCTGGTGGCACAGGGGGAGGGCACAAGGTGAGCCCCAGCACTGCTCCATAACAGCCTGGCTCTGTCACCAGCTCCTGGCTCTGTCACCGGCTCCTGGTCCTGCCCTGCTGCAGCCTGGCTCTGTCACCAGCTCCTGGTTCTGCCCCAGTCCAGCCTGGCTCTGCCAGCAGCTCAGCAGCACAGATCTGGCTCTGGCATGGCCCAGCCCTGGTGGGCAGAGCTGAGGCGCCCGCTGGCCTCGGGCAGTGCCACCGTGATCTGCCTGGGCAGCCTGGCTCCTGCTGCTGCCATCCCAGAGCTGGACAGTGAGTTCTGCTGGGTGGCCTTTTATCAAAAATTGTCAGATCTTTACAAACTGGATTGCTTTATGTGTCGGGGTAGGAGTGGAAGATGACGTGTTGCACTTCTGCTGAAAAATAACAAGTTTTTCCTGTTTGCTGAAAGCCTGGAAAGATGACACTGGACTTGCTGAACTCACCAGGCTTCTGCATGTCATCTCAGCAGGGTCAGCTGAAGTGTCTCTGAGGAGAATGGTGGGTGAAATACAGCAATCTCTAAAAAATGTGGTTTTGGTTTAATTGAGCACCTATTATTTTTCTGGCATTTAATGGCTCAATAATAAAAGCTGACCCCTGCAGTGGTGGTGTGCCCTGTACCAAAACCCAAACTGTCCTGTGTGTAATATTAGTTTACAAAGGAAAACCCCAAATATCCCTGCAACTACCAGGACTTTGAACAGTAAGTACAGGCAGAGACACTTGCTCTGGAGTCTATTTCTCGTGGTTTTTGTCAACTTTCAAGGTGTTCTTGTTTGCCCTGGAACAGGAGCACGTGAAAAGGCATTTAAGGGTTTCTCTAAAGAAAAACCCAAGAGCAGAAAAGCAACATTTCTCCTCCTGCCCCGCTGCAGAGCTCGGAGCTGTGTCTCGGGCAGACTCACTCACGGGCTGTTGTTGGCTGCCACACCATGGCGAGCCGATGGATGTGCTCCCAAAGGCGTGGGCAAACTTGGAGCAAACTTGGAAAAGAGAACTCAGGGCCTCCTCCCGCTGACTTTCCTGAGTGTTGGGCAGCTCAGGTGAAAGGAGAAGCAGATGGTGCTCTTTGTCGTGGAGGGTTCGAGCCCGAGCAGGCGTGCAGAGGGAATTGTGTCCCCAGCCCCTGGTCCGTGCGAGCCGGGAAGGGCGGCTGGGCTGAGCGTGAGGCCGGCAGCAGAGCTGGGGGTTAAATAATCCCAGTTTGTACGTGGCAGCAGCGTTGCAGGGCTCTCACCCAGGCGCTGAAGAGGGGATTCCCAGAGTTACTAATAAATGCCGTGGTTAAAGCTCCTGCCCTGCTTCTCTGTGTTGTGACTCTGCAGGTGGAGCCGTGGAATGTTGCTGTGCTGCAGGTCAGGGTGGGAAGGTGAGACCAGACAAGCTCTCAGAGAGACCAGAGCCAAAGCTGCCGGGGCTCTTCAAGGCCACGTTAGTGCCAAGACATCTCCTGGCCCACAGAAATCCCACGCGTGGCCTCAGCTGGGGGATTTTGTGTATCAGCTGCAGCTTGTGGTCCGTGGGGATGGAGCACAGGGGTCCCTTGGGCACTGGAAAGCCCCTCTTGGGTTTGGGACTTTTTGGGTGGCCTCTAATTGATTGCAGGGTGTGTTTTAAAGTGAGTCCATGACCTGGGAACAAAGCACTTAGTTCAAAGGTGATGAATTGATCTGTATTTGAAATATGCGTGTTCATATATGAAAGGGTTTTGTATTTATCAATCTTTATCACAGTGACTAATCGGTGCAGTGGGTTTTTAATTTACATTTATTCACAGCCACCACCCTTCCAAAGCAGAAAACAAGTGGAGGAATCTGGAAAGCTTTAGCTGAATTTGCAATATCACTGCCTTATTTCCCTGCAGTTAAAAAAGAAAAAATTGGAATATTTATGAATTTAAACATTATTATTTTTGCAAGTCTTTGAAGCTGTCGTTTTATGTGGGCTACATTTGATCTGCATGTAAACCCAGCCCCTCATTGCTTTGGAATCTTTTGATTTTATACAAACTGCTCTGTGTGAGCTGCAGCGAGTCTCTGTGCTGCAGAACTCTGTGCAGCTCAGTGATTCCCCTGCAGCAACTTCTAAAAACGCCGCTGGTACCTGCTGGAAAGGATGGCACACGCTGCAGCCACCAAAGGTACGTGGGTCTGAGCTGCCTGGGTTCAAATAATGGCCAAGGTGACTCCTTCTGCCTGGGGTGTTAGTGGAAAACAGTCTATGCATCTGCTGGGTGATGGGCCAGAGCACGGAAATTCTTGGTGTCGTTTTATCTGCTGGGTTTTAAACAAGGGGAACGACTGGTTCCTCTTGGAGCAATGCGAGGGATGGCCCTGGAGCCACTGGGACCCCCATGCTGAGTTGCTGAGGGATTCTGGAAACACTTGAAGCCAACAGTGGGGTGGGAAAAATAATTTGAACCTATGGATGGGTTACAGGCAAAGTCAGTTTTGTGGTTGCTTTAGGTCCAGTCAGTGTGATGGAGGAGAGAAGTCCTTGAAATAAGCAAATCATTCTGGAAAGAAATTTATTGCAGGAGCTCATGAAGGATTTTAAGAGAAGTGTGCACACTGGGGATACCTGTCCCTGTTTCCCAGGCTTTGGCAGGCCCAGGGATGGCGTGTGGGGCTGGGCACTGCTGCGGGCTGGGGATCCCTGAGCCCGGGGGTGTCTCTCCCCCTGGAGGTCCCTCCCCGGTGTCCCTCCCGGGTATCTCCCGGGTCTCTCCCGGGTCCCTCCCGGGTCTCTCCCGGGTATCTCCCGGGTCTCTCCCGGGTCCCTCCCAGGTCTCTCCCGGGTCCCTCTCGGGTCCCTCCCGGATCCCTCCCGGGTCTCTCCCGGGTCTCTCCCGGGTCTCTCCCGGGTCCCTCCCGGGTCCCTCTCGGGTCCCTCCCGGGTCCCTCCCGGGTCTCTCCCGGGTCCCTCCCGGGTCTCTCCCCGGTGTCCCTCCCGGGTCTCTCCCGGGTCTCTCCCGGGTCCCCCCGCGGGCGCTGCGGGACGGCCACACGGTGGCGCCACTGCCCGGGAGGTGCCGGGGGACCGCGGGGACAGCGGGACAGAGACAGAGAGACAGCGGGACACTGGGAATACCGGGAATACCGGGAATACCGGGACAGCGGGGACACCGGAACACCGGGAATACCGGGAATACCGGGAAAACCGGGACACCGGGACAGCGGGGACACCGGGAATACCGGGACACCGGGGACAGCGAGACAGCGGGACAGCGGGAATACCGGGAATACCGGGACACCGGGGACAGCGAGACAGCGGGACAGCGGGAATACCGGGAATACCGGGAATACCGGGAATACCGGGAATACAGGGACAGCGGGGACACCGGGAATACCGGGACAGCAGGGACACCGGGACACCGGGAATACCGGGAATACCGGGACACCGGGGACACCGGGACAGCGGGGACACCGGGAATACCGGGACACCGGGGACAGCGAGACAGCGGGAATACCGGGACACCGGGAATACCGGGAATGCCGGGAATACCGGGAATACAGGGACAGCGGGGACACCGGGAATACCGGGACAGCAGGGACACCGGGAATACCGGGACACCGGGAATACCGGGACAGCGGGAGCAGCATCGCCGGGGGACAGCGGGGACACCGGGGCCAGCGGCGTGCGGAGGGCCGGGCCGGGCCGGGGCCAGCGGCGCTCGGGGCTCTCGGGCTGCCCGGCTCCTGCCCGTGCCCGGCCGGGCCCCGGGGCTGCGCTGCCGCCGGAACTCCCGGGCCGCAGCGGGACCGGGACACAGTCCGGTCCGGCCCGGCCCGGGGAACCGGACCGTGCCGGGCTGTGCCTGGGGCTCCTGGCCTCTCCCAGGCGTTGTTACAGCTGCTTGCAGACTTGTAGTGCTATTTCTTTCACAGTTAGTGTAGGAAATTGAGTCTACTTCTGTTTAAATACTGGGTAATAGAACCTGCTATTTAGTGAAAGATTTATGTAAATGGCTCTTTGTTTCACACGATTGGGCCTCGGAGAGTGCAAGTTACATCGATAATGTAATTATGCCACTACTGCCATTTCAAAGCAGCACGCAGTGGAGAAGCCTCCAATTTTGGTATAGAACAGGCCTTGAAAACCTTGTGCTTTTAAAATCAACTTGTATTCTGCAGCAGGAAAAAGCAGAAGAGCTAGGTTTATTGAGCAGTTTTTTTCTGGAGTTGTCAACCTTTTTAGCTCAGAACACGAGATCCCTTTTACATCAGAATTTTGTTTTATTAGTTTTGGAGCACCTGTGATTGCACATCATAATTGTACTACATCACTGTGTTAGCCTTAAAATGCAGTTTCCCCGCCTTTGCTAAAGCTTTGTGTTTTCTTTCAGAACAGGCTGAAGGCAGTACTTCTTTAACCTGGCACTCCTATTAGTATGGAAGTCACAGTAATGTTCTGGTATTATCTGAGATCACTAAATTATCTTGTGCTGCTTCAGAGTGCAGTTTGTCATCCAGGTGAATGTTGGTTCCTTTTGCAATGGGGAGTCAGGTCCCTTGTGTGTCTCATTCCTAGCCAGAGTTTGGCAAGCTCCCAGGCAGTGTTCTTCCTCAGAAGTGCTGCTCTTGCACGCTTTTCTGGCACAGCATGGTGCCCTGCAGCAGCCTGCACCATGTCCAGGATGTATTAACAGTCGTGGCACCACGTGGGAAACAAGTGCCGTAGGACCCGGGGGAAACAACCCACTTTCTTCCTCCTACAGGAACTGCAATCAGATGCTCATTTTGGATGAAATAGCAGCTCTCAGCCATTATATTTTTAGTCCCCAGTGCTTTAATCCCCAGAGTTTTGGGCCATAAATTCTTTGCCATGCGTTTGGAGATGTGTTTTGGTGTGGTGGTGGTGGTGGTTTCTCGTGCCGGGTCTGTGCTGTTTGTGGGTGAGCTGTTGGTGGGGTGCTGAGGCCCCAGGGCAGCACTGCCCTTCTCTGAGCTCAGGACCTGTTCTGCCCCAGAGCTCTCCCTGCTCTCTGCTCGTGGAGATGCTTCCTGCTGTCCACACAACGTGCTTTGTGCTTGCTTCAGTTCAGAAACCAAACCTAAAGAAGTTTCATTTCCCGGATCCCAGCAAATGCAGCTGTTCCACAAAGTGCTCCATGATCCCAGAGAATTCTTTCCCCTGGGCTGCCTGCCAGCTGGCTGCTCCTCTGGGAGTGTTCTGTTCTTGATCTGGGTCATTAAATATTAAAAGGCAAAGTGATTCTAAAAGGCAGCCGTTTTTTAGAAGTACCAAATAACTGTAATTTGTTTCCTAATAGATAGTTTTGTCCTTGTCACTGAGTGCAACTCAACAGAAAATAGTGTGTGATGAGGCAGGCTGCTCGGTAAATCCGTGCACGGTGTGCTCCCGGGAGCAGAGCTGGCCTGGGGGCAGGAGGAACTCAAGCTCAGTCTCTGTGCTGGGCCGGTCACTTGGCTCCACGAGCTTTCCTCCCCCCAGTGCTGCCAGGGCAGGGGTCTCGGGCTCCTGCCAGCCCCTGCCAGGCTGTGGGAGGGGTCCTGGCCCCACGGAGCTGCTGCAGGGGCTGTCAGTGCAGAGTTTGTGCCTGAGCTGTGCGAGGCCGGCTGGCACAGCTGGGCACAGCTGGGCACAGCTGGGCATGGAGCCCGGGGCAGCCCTGCTGGCAGAGCAGCAGCAGCACCGGGCTGTGCCTAAAAAAAGAAAAGAAATCTTCCCTAAGTGCTCTGTAATTTGTACAAGCATTTCTGCTTGTACATTTCCTGTGCTGTGAAGTCTTCCAATTCTTTGTTTTTATTTAAAAAATGGTAATATATGCTTCTGTGACTCTTCCCTTCTGATTCTCTTCTCTCATCAGGTTTGCATTTGGGGATTACATACTGGAGACTTACAACGTGCCAGAATGTAATTCCTGAAACTGTAAGAAAGGTAATTGAGTCAAGTTGTAAAGCCTTCGTGCTTTGCTGGGGTTTGTCTTGTTTCAAAGGATCCCATTTGCTCAGATGGCTTTTTTAACAATTAGGGACGCTGCTGTTAAGGAGAAGTCGGAGCCCTTTGCCTGCTCCCGTGGTGGGTTGTGCTGCCCTGCAGGAGCTGCCCGAAATTGGCTCCTCGGACCCTTCCTGGGCTGCCCGGCTGCCCTGGCAGGGTGGAGCACGAAGGTCAGGGTGACCTGTGGGCTCTGGGAGCCCGCCTGGGCTCTGAGCAGCTCCACAGCCCTGGAATGTTCATGGGACCCTGGGAGCTGAGCGCTCTGGTTTGTGAGAACCCAGCTGAGGTGCTCTCCAAACCCTCAGTCCTGCCTCTGAACCCAGAAATACGCTCAGATACTGAGAACTAATTCTACTCTATCTTTTATTTTTATTTTTTCGCTGTTTGCTTGTTTAAAGCTGTATTTCTTACATTACCCAGATCAGGCTGTTAAGCTAACCCTAACCTGACACCTGCTTGGAAAAAGAACCTTGTCTTAGCACGCAGAAAAGAAAAATCACTCTGCAAACTCACAGTCTGGCATGGACACAGGATGTGTCCTCTGCCAGTGAGGAGTCTGTGAGGCTGGGGCAGCTGGGAGCACCCAGCCTGGGCAGTGCTGGGCGCTGGGCAGCCCCTGTGCCTGCTCAGGGCTGCAGCTGCTGGCCCAGAGCCTCAGAAATGGCTTTTTGTTGCCTTTGGAATGCCTGGAGCGAGAGGAGGTTGAATAAGATTTCTCGGGCCCTTGAACGCATCTGCAGCAGCAGCTGTAGGTGTCCTGTGGCTCTCCTCTGCCTTTCACACATGAGCTTGGGTTCTTTGGCCAGAGCACAAATAACTGCTGGAAATTAATTTTCTGTGCTGCTCTGCAGCCAGAGCAGGCTGCCTGCTGCTCTGCACAGCAGGTGAGGCAGAGCCTCCGCTGTGCTCTCGTGTCTGCCAGCAGATGCTTGGACAGAAGTTTAAAAATTATCAGCTCCCTCCTGCTTGCCAGCCCTTGGCATGGAGCATCTCCCAAAACCATTTCCTTTGCTTTCCCTGTGGGTGTCTGCTGTGCCCCAGGGCGGGAGCTGCTGTGGGGCTTGGCCTGGAGGTCATGCCTTGAGCAGAGGGGAACACAGAAACATCCGGATGCACATTTGTGGCAGGATCAGAGTGGAATTTCTGATCCCTGTAGCTTTGAAATGAGCAGGTATG